AGAAACATTGGCAGAAAAACACATATCCATTTCTAAAATCGTACCTGAACCTTCTCATCAAAATTGTGAGAAAACTCTTAGCCATCACCCATGCTCTCAAGTTACATTTTCGAACACAAACGGCAAAAGACCACTCCTTATTGAACATAACACGGCTTATCCCCCAATAAGTCCATCAATACACCTCCTCTCCCACTTCATCGGGTACAGCATCTTCGCCATCCTAAAAAATGTGAAGTTAGGAAAATACTTTGCTGCAACATTCACACCACACCTCAACAACAACACTGAACTCCGTTAGAAAACATTAAATATATTTCTCTATCAGCCCCCAAAGCATCACACGGTTTCGACCAAATCTAAGCGTACTTACACAAACATCTTCCTCTAAAAATTGTACACATTACAGCAATATTCAATGCAGCTTTGAGAATGTCATACTTCCCCCATAAATGGAAATATGCATGTATCAATCCCATCCCCAAGCCAGGAAAACCAAATGACCACGCAACAAGCTACCATCCAACCAGTCTGATATCCTCCACGGAAAAATTACTCCAAAAATGCATCCACACCAGACTTAATACTCACTTTACCTCAGCAAATATAATACAGCCCTTTCAGTTTGGCTTCGAACCTCAGCTTTTTATATACCAGCAATAATTACATTTAACAGAAGGAACTATCGAAGGTTTTCATGACCATAAGCATACAGTAGCAATATTCATTGACATCGCATAAGCTTTTGATACAGTACGGAACCCAGGACTGATATTCAAACTCTAATACTTGGCACTCCCCAGTATCTTTCACGCCTAATAGAAGGATTCCTTAGTAATCGTACTTTTTCAGTGCGTCTTCCCGGCGCACTCTTAATATCCCATTAAATTAGGAGTTCCACAGGGTTCAAGCCTCTCCCCAGCTCTATTTAATATCTGCATAGCTGACGTACCTACCACACTAATTACATCCATTGACACCTTTGCAGATGACTATCTACTCTACAAACACATGAATGGCACTAGAGGATAGGAGGAGCTATACGAATAGCACTAGAGAATCTACAAGATCATCTCAACGTATTTTCTGATGGCGTATTCAGATAAACCCAAGCAAGAATCAAGGAAAAATATTCATTCTTCGAAAACCCCTTGACTCGCTCACGCTCACCTAAACCATAACATTGCATGGATTCCCGGCAACGCCACGGCAAAATACGTAGGAGTATTATTCGACCGACAACTCACAAAGAGATCAAATATCATGCACATAATTTCATTAGCCACTAGAAGAACACTTCAGTTATATCCCTTACTTAAGAAAGCACCCCCACTTCAATTACACACATCCACTTATCTCTACCAAACAATGAAACGACCTATATAATGTTATGCATCTCCAGTCTGGGCCACAGCATCCAAAAAAAATATTCACAAAATCCAAACGTTCCAAAATAAATTCCTAAGAATAATCACAAAAACACCCTGGTTTATCCTTAACTCTCAATTCCATCAGGAACTCGGTATCACCCTCATCACAGAACAATTTCCAATTTTTTAAATTCTTAAGTGGGAAGGGATCCCTGATGTTCCAGAACAGAAAACAGTGAATTAAGAATTTTATAAACAATTCCGAAATCTATGTGGGGCGTCATATCAGTCTCCTTGTACAAACGTACCAAATATCAGCCACGTGCATTTCATGCTCATGGACAGCGCTGGCGGAAGAGTCGCTGGTCTGAACAAAGGCAAACCTGGGAGCGGAAGGGAAGGGGTGCCGTGCCGTGGGTGGCAAACTTGGGAACCCCTAGGCAGGCCGGCAGTGGAAACGCGTCGGCGGAAACAGCGAGACGCAGTTCCGTCAGCCGGCCCAGAAGGTATATAAACGGACCCCGGACCTAAACTCCTTCTTCTTATTCTTGGGCACGTCGGTAGGAAGTCGTGTGGGTTGTGCGCGGCGCTGCATTTTAATGCATAGGCTACTGAGGCAGGGGACTGAAGCCGGCGTGCTACGTCGAGACGGGTGGTGCGGGATACTCGCTTGTTTGCTCACGTAGATTACTGGTGCATCACACCGAATATGATATTTAATTATCAGGCCAGCGGTGGTGGTAACCAGGGAACATTCCTTCTAGTAACGGGTCAATATTGTTATTTGTAAATTATGTACATAGGTTTCAGGTGTTGGAGCATTTTTCCAAATAAATACATAATATTTACAAACGTTCACGTCTGTGAGTATTGCCCCGGCAAAGACGTCACGTGTGGAATCCCTGCCGGGCAATGTCCCTAAATTGTCATCGAGGTAAATACTGCAAAATAACAATTTTTACAAGAGATGAAAAATTATTGCTAATACATACTTTATTTGTTGCTAAAATACTATATATGGACTTGATCTTTTATTTTGCTTTAAATGGATCCCTCGAAGTCATATATCAATTCGAAAAATACATGATTTTGTATTTTTTTTCAAATTTTATATACATATGGACAAACGCAAACTTGCAATTATAATAGTTTTCAATCGATTAATCTATAGTAAACTGGATATTTGACACAAAGCTTGGATTATTTATAAAAAATAATATTGAAAGTAAACGTGTATGAGAATCTAAATTCTCTGAATGAGTGTTATTTTATTTCATGTTTCTTTAAAAATTTCAGTAATTTCTTCAAAAAGAATTGTATTAACAATGGTTAAACGTATATATTCTTATATATATTTCAAAGTATTTTAATTAATGTTCATAAAAGTGTTTTTGTATTTTTATTTGGAAATATTTCCACATCTGAACTAGTGACATCCGCCAATTTGTACGTCGTAATTTTGCTAGGCCACTTGTTCCCCTTTGAGAATTGGTGCGGCTGTTTGTGAGGCTCCGCCTGCAACGTTTCGTTATGAAGGGCGTTCCAAGTCGTGGAAAGGCTGAACTTAGCTGGAGATGGCGTGGTTAATTTATTTGCCAGAACTGTACATTATGGCATTTGCAGCTACTGTTGGAAAGAAGAAGTATCACATTACAATACAAGCTAGAGAGGTGGTTCAGAGCATCGACTGATGTCAATAGGGCCTCAAGCAGGATGCCCTAGGTTCAAGTCCCGAAGGTATTAGGACTTTCGATTGTAACTAGATAGCTGGGTCAAGTGATGTCGTTGTCTGCAGAAGAATTTGATCGGTAGTTTACAGTGGTTTCTTCAATCAATGCCAGACACGTGCCGGAAAAGTACTGTAACAAACGGACCGCGCGCTATTTTTCCTTCCTTCTGCTTTACACACACTTACATGCACTACACTACCACACGTGGTGGGAGACCGGCGAGAGCTTGGAACTAGTGCAGCGCTCCGATGGCGGGAGATACCTGGTTGAGGGAAACCCGTTAACCGGCAGCAGAACGGCGCCGGTTTTCACCATGCAACGGGGGAAGATCATAGCCACCTCGCCATGAAAACGCATTCACTACACTTCAGGGATCAATAATCTTATCTGTTGACGCGCCCTGAATCACTAATCAATCATAACATTGCGTTTTGCTACGAAACGTAAAATGGCAGATAGCATTGTTTTCACGAGAGTACCAAATTCCATGAATGTGCGCCGCCTGTGAGTAAGCAATTGGCTGCACATGAGAGTGCATAGCGTTGCGTCTGTAGGAGTCAACATCCACATTTATCCCGCTCGTTTCTCTTCAATCAGGTCTCGTACACCGTTCTTCTTCTACAAATTTCTTTGGTTTGCAGTCTTACAGTTTCGGAACCATGTCTGGCAATTCTCTAAATTTTTCATAAACACATTCTTGCAGTACATATTCTTTTTAGTTTACAATTTTTTTCCAAGCACAAATCGATTACATTCTATTATTTGTCTTCGAATCTTTATTTGTCATCAAAACATGGATTTAAAATTAACTGACCATTAGGTCAAAGCATTTCGGGAGAGTACGAGGAAATTCGGGAACGTACATTCCCAGACTTACGAGATGTGGCGTGTCTTTGGTGAGTAAAAAATGTTTGCAATTTGAATCATTGCTTTTAAGTGATTACACCGACAGAAACTCTTGAGCGCGCGTCTTAATAATGTGTTTCGGCTTCAACTAAGAATCAAAGCTCTCTGATTAATTAAAATATCAGCTCAACTGCTAATACAAAGTAGTCTCAGGAAACCACTTCTCAAACCTTTTCGACATGTTCATATACACTTTAGTATCTGTAACACTGGGAAAACTTTCTCCTGATTGAGACACTTGAGTACATCAATATCTAACTATATGATCGCGCTCCACGCTGAACTGAAGTACCAACTCCACCCTTATGTGCCTCCATTTCCTGGAAGGTCTGCCTATTTGCAACCCATTTCCATGCTCCTGATTTAGAAATAGGCGATAGCACTAAAAGAAATTCATGAGACCGTGAGACTCTTGGTGTTATCGAGTTCATAAAGTATTATCTGTTATACCCATTCGCTATAATAACACATGCTTGAAGAAACTAATCTCTTGCGCTACCTTAGAACTCGTCCCGGCTCAGGCGGCGCTGCGCTGGTGGGAGATACCTGGTAGGGGAAATCCCACAAATCGACGAAGTAGATGGGCGCCGAATCTCGCCATCCTGCGGGGGAAGTTCACCGCCATCTCCAGCGATAGAAATATGCACTGGCCTTACGAGACTAATGATCTCATCCGTTGACGCGCCGAGAATCAATCAATGAATCTTGTGCCTCTTATTGCAAGGATCTCCTTAGCCCCTGGCGTAAAGCGCTGCCCATTCGCAACCCATTCCTATACCCGTGATTCAGAAGAAGGCGTTTACACCAAGAGAAATTCATGAGAGCATGAGACTCTAGTTGTTCTTTGCCTTAATCAAGTACTCTCTGGACTGGGGCCACATGCTATCGCGTTATTAAAGTAGTGTCGGGATTGAAACCCCTTTCGCCATTTTGAGCCTCGCTTGAGGGCCCTAATCTTTTGAGCCACCTGCCAGTCCTCCGCCCGTGCAGGGCCTCCTCGGCGCCTTCCAGCCATTCCCGTGCGCGTGGGAGGTGCGTGCGGGCGCCGCGTGGGCCGCGGCCCGCAGCGCGGCGACGCGGGCGCGCGCACCAGCGCGTCGGCGCGGCGCGCCGCTCAGTGGCAGAGGGCCGGCAGAGGGCGTGGAGCTTCGCGTCGCGCACCCTCGCCTCTCTCCGGCACCCGCCCCGGGCGGCGCGCGAGTCGCAGAGCGGACGCGGCAGCGGCAGGCGGTCGCTGACGGTGGAGGCGGCTCGGCCGGCCCGACCCGACCCTCGCAGCCCCGGCCACGCCCCCGCGCCCCCTGGACCCCCGCGGCGGCAGCGCATGCTGGCGCCAGCACCGGCCCCGCGCCCACGCCCGCCCTCGCCGGCCGCCCGCCGCCCTGCGCAGGTAAGCGCCCCCCATGCCCCTCCCCGCCTCCTCGCCCGCCCGCCCCCCTCGCCCGCCGCGCATCGATCCGGCGGCGGTGCCCTCACTGCCTACCAGCGCTCCACCCTGGCCTCTAATCGCTTGCCCACACACCCTCCTTTCGCCTTATAAGCCGCCTTCAGCGCTTTGGAAGCGTCGCGCCCCCTCACGCACTTCTGTCATGCGTGGATCTCGGTGTGGACAGAAAAATCGAGCCACTTGAGGACGCAACGGCGTTCACGACCGAGGTTTGGCGAACAGGCAGGCGATCACGAGCGAGGAGACGTTTGGTTCAAGCATTGATTTATGTCCTTGCTTTGGATGCTACGCGTTTCCAGTCATCTCCAGTGTTTTGAACCTTCCTTGTTGAGAGGGTCATGAATGTCCTCATACCCTCAATTTCCTCATATTAAGAATGCTCACGCTGTAATTTCATTTCAAGGTTAACTTAATTCTTCGCCTTCCATGCTGTCTGTTCCAAAACGCTTTGTAACCCTTTACTTCCAACACTCTAGAGCCTTTTTTGATAGATATGTTGAACTAGAATGCTCACGACATTTGTTGTAGATGTATGCGAGAGTGCGTTTTATATTAGCGATCGTATTCTGGAAGTTATGCTTTTCGAGACGCAATCGCGTCAGTGTTTTGAAACTATACTTAAAATAGAACAATTAAAGAACTTCTGTTACCGCAATCCTCAAGACTGGAATTTTCATGATGTGAGTTTATTAAAACATAACTTACAGACGTGACTTCGAAGATATGCATTCTGAGAGCAAATAACCTCCAATGTTTTGGAACACATGTTTTAACGAAAAATATATCAATATTTTCAACGTAAATTTGAACGTAATATTTGGTTAAGCAGTTGAATTATCTCACAAACCTTCACGATTCCAAATATCGATGCTATATGCTGCAGTTAAGCTAGAAAAGAAAATACTCCGTTTGCTGCACATCTTCCTTTTTTGCTGCACACGCCCTTTCTACGTAGTAAATTAATAATTACAAATAAAATAACATCATAAACCGTTCAATGCCTAGTTCAGTCGATAAATATTTACTAGTCTGAAGAATTTGTATGTTTGATGATGCCGTGACTCAAGTGTTTTTTGTTTTGATGCTTTGCTCTGTTAATGTAGGTCAGCTGGGTTCTGAATGGTTCTAAAAGTATGTGGAGAAATACGAAAAGGCTAGCAAGGAGTAATGACAATAATACCAAGGTACTTGTCATTATGAATGTAAGACACGTTGTTTTTCTCGATTTTCATAATTTCAAAACTATAATTGATTTCATTAGCAAATGTTTTCCAACGGAGTCATTTAAATAACAGAAATTTACTTCATTTTACACGATTTTGAGATATTCAGAAACGAAGCTGTTCAAATTATTGCTAATTATAAAGTTACTTTTTCCCCTTCTTTCTCGCTATTGTTCACTATTGTTTATATTAAATTTCTTAATCTCGATTCTTTTAATAATGAATCCGAATTATTATTTGAATATTTATTGAGCAAACTTTTGTAATTTTTAAACAAAAAATCTTTTGCATTTCCTATTGTTAGCCTCAATACACATTTTTCGAATTCATGATCACTCTAAAATACGTAGATTCTATGTCATGATGCAATTATGCCTGAAAAAATAATATAAAGTTGACCATTTGTTTACTGAACGTTCTTGCAAAATATTTAAAGGTAATTTATCATTTTAGTTTCTGTTATAATGATCTGATTTCATATTTTACCTTAAGATATAGTTAAAAATTGATTTGAAGTTTAATAATTAATCTAATTTCCAATTTATCGAGCTTTTGCCTTCAGTTTACATACTCAGCACATAAATTCTGCAGTTCCAATTTCATTACTAATTTATTGCATAAATATACAGGTCAGACGTACCTCATATGTTACTTTACCGATTGTTACAAGGAAGAGATGAAACAAAGACCGATGAGGCATGGTCATGTACTTGATGTATAAGATTCAGGTGAAAACAATAAATGAAATTAGAGGAAAGATTCCTTAAAGAACTTCTGAAAATCTATAATATGCGTCGCCCCAGTAAGGTTCAAGACTTCCATTCCCATTGTTTCTCTTGTTTCTCTAAGAATATTCTATTATAGGTTTGTTTAAACTTAAAACAGCATTTTAATTTAAGAATATTTAATGGTTCATTCTTTCCATTCTTCAGCCTAAACCGATAATTATTTTGTGGATCGTTGGAAGAAAGAAAGTGGGAATCTTCCATTGTTTAAGGGGCCGTTACACCGAGAATTCCCTTCGGCCATTGTTCTGTAGGGTACGTCGCCGCCCTTGCTTGGTCCGTTGTTTCTGCAAGCCAGACGGGATGACGCCGTGGAAATTCGAGTGGGAAGGCTGTTGGGCGTGTCAAGGCGCGCTGCGCGGGCGGATGGTGGAAATTCTCATTTGGCTCTGGAGGGAGGTGGCGGCTCGCGCCATCGCCCTCAGCTGTCCAAACAGAGCGCTGATGAGGTCCACATGAGACGCAATGGTGGGTCGCGTCGCTGGTCAAATCTTATTTGATATCTCCGTTTACGTACTTAATGTAGGGAAATTCATGTTGCAGGTGATTGGTATTGCCGAGTATAGGTTTCTCTTTCTTGTAGTACAAATAAATCTATGAAAATAAATGCAACTAAATGCCTGTTACAACAAAATATACTCATTTATAGGTGAAATATCTAAATCATCATAAAACTGTATTATCTTCTTTCTTTTCGCTGACGCTTCAGCTCAGTGTGGATCTTAACATTACATCCACGAACTCGCAGTTCTGCTGGAGTCTTTCGTACTACACAGATTCATCCTTCCGAACAAACGTTACATCAGACATCACGACATAACATTGAACTGCAATGTGCAACCAATTTAAACGGCAGTCAAGGCAACGAATTAAAACGTTCTCGTAAAATATAAGGGAACAGTGTCTTAAGGAGAAACATAATTGACTTACGCTGTGTAATTGGTTTATGACAGGGCATAAATTTACATTCACGCAATCCACATACAGCCATAAAAGTAAAACATCTATAAAACATACTTTTCGTGAAATTTAGAGTTAATAAGAAATCAAACGTCTTCAAGGAGCTACATTTTTCTCGCAATTTATTTCAATCTCGGAATATATCAGTTATTATAATTATTTTCATACATTTTTCTGAAAAGGGAAAAGACTTACTTCAAAATTTTTAAAAAAATGTCTAATCTATTTATATCGCTTTACGTGAATCGGGTACATAATTATGGCTAATGCTTAGCGTAAGGGCTACAACTGATTCAGAAATAAAAGTTAATTTTGCATATGTATTGAATTCATGTTTTTATTATTATTTATATTTGTCAATTCAACTAATTTTACATTTAAGTAGCAAGATTACAATCTAACAGTAGTTCATAACATCAAGACCATTCCCATCTCACTGAGGTCAAAATATGTCAACGATTCATTACTGGGGATTTTTTCACGAAGTGTCTTGTGAATGTGTCTACCAGTTTAATATTGAGACGCGCTGAAATAGGCGGAAGAATATCTTAGTAAATTAATAGTGTCTTGACAGTGATCCATTCAATCCATAAGCATATAACGACCCAGCTTCATAATGATTAAACAGTTATTAATTCGATTTTATCATTATAATTCTTGTTGTTTGCAATGACGTGCATAAACTATTTCTGGTGTCATACACGTATGTGGCTTAATTTATAAAATTTAGAATAAATCGGATTACTAATGTACATTGTAAATCCCATAGAAACTCAAAAAACAAACAAATCTTCAAATTTCATTTTGCTGTTCTTCAGATTAAGCTCTTAGCAAACTATCATGATCCATTTGGCTGTTAGCTTTCTGTGACTGAATGTTAAAAAAGAAACATCAGAGCGCATTCTTGTAAAATGAATTAAAATGATCTTTTAAAGTTGAATTAAAATATTTTAATAGCGTTATTCACCTAATTGTATTTTTGCATTGAACACAAGTGAGAGATGGAAATTAAAATTTTGTCAGAAAAACTGAATTTAATATAGTAGAGAGAAACTAAACATTGTAAAATGATAAATCAACATATTTGAAGAGCGGCTTTAATTATGTTTTTTAAATTAATTTTTAAGAGAGATTTTAATATTTTAATTTACAATTTATTTTCTTTACCACATGTTTTTAAAACCTTAATTCTTTGTGTACTTTGTTGTTACTACATTATTGAAACTTAAAATTTTTATGTGAGTATAAATCCATCTTTGCCAGGTAACGATTAGTATTCAATGTATCTTACTGCAGAATATGATAAAAGAAGCAAAGTGATAATTTTTAGAATTACGAAATTGTGATTGAAAGTCAATATTTTATACACTCATTAAATATTTGTATACATAAAGCATAAATTCATAGAAAACATTGAAAATGTATAGACTTAAACAAATAATTTCCGAAGACAATTGAATCTAAAGAGAAATTTTTTGAAAATAGTGTGAGATGAAGTCCATAATTACGTTTATGGTATTACCATATGAAAAAAGGAAATATTTGTCTTATATAGTGTTGCAAACATTTTTCGAATGTAATAATAAATAATATTTTTATATCATTCTCATTTCATGCATCGGATGTAATTCTATTGTAGAAAATGTCTGACACAATGGACAAATTATAAAATGTACTAGTCCTAGAATGCTGTACGTAATTGATAGTTTCATGCTATCCAACACGTAATTCCGTATTCGGAGCTACTTAAAAAAACACGAAACACGGGGAATAAGAGTTATACAGTTAATGGGTTTCTAAGAAATTTGATATACCCTTTCGCGTTATACATTCAACAAAGCAGCTTCTGACGCTTAGCTTTGACTCATCCATTTAGGGTAATTTGTTTGCTTCATTGCAGAAACTCATTAATTAGGAGTCGTTTTAATGGCTGGGTTTATTATCGTTGACAAATGTTTACGGACATATCGCATATAAATCGTTTGGAGTGTCATTTTTGTTATCTTCTTTGTTGTAAATGATATCAATATATGGTCACAGAGATGGAAAATATAAATTATCAGCCCCAAATTTTTACGAAGCCATACGTTATGAGATAATAAAAATTTCACAAGAAGATAAAGTTGATATAATTTATAAGAAAACGTTGCAATGTTTGTTTTTTGCCCCAAATTATCTAACACTTTAATACAAATGAATTTTGATATTCCTTGGTATGTTTTAACAACTTGGATATTCTGTAGAATTAGTGTAAGATACTTTTTGAAAAATGTCACAATATAGATCAGTATGATATCGGTGTAACTGGGGAATAAAGGTGAAATACGGGCAATAAGAAAAGTAACATAATTTAATTATCAGGGCCTTTACCTTACATTTAGGAATGATAAAGCTCCGGCGAGTGCTTCATTAAAGTTAGAGTCAGAACGTCGTATCAAATATTTATTTGTCGAGGCTTTGATTGTTTTATTTTGTAAAAAAAATGCATGTTCAATAGCCATTTCCAAACCCTAACTGGTTTATTGGTTCTATTGTTGGCTATACAATCAGTGTCAAATTTTAAAGAGAACCGTTCATTCACTCACGGGATACGCGACACCTACACGTCCGTCTCCTGTTCATCCGAGTTGCGAAGGGTTTAGTAGACCTTCAGTTCTGCGCGTTCAGGTTACCGCGTTACGTGTGCTTAGGTTAAGGTAGAACGTTCGTTCCATCGACCACTGTGAAGTTCCCCCAAAAAGTAAAATATCTGTTCTTCAAGGCGGCAAAGGAACAGTTGGTTCTTGCTGGCTTATTTTTTTTAAGAAAAGAAGTTTAAATTAGTGCAAGCGTTTTGGAAAAACTTTCGGCGGGCATTGCTTCTTTTAACTTATTGAAGAAATCATATGGTCAAAGAACCTTTTTCTTTTATCCAATTCGTTTTTAATTTTTTGAGGAATCAGATTATAATAAATGTAACATACCTCACCGAGCATTCTGAAGTGTAATTGATAAAAAAAACTGCTCCTAAATACATCACAAGCGGAAGTACTGACCCCTCGGAATAGAAGCAAATTATTGCTTTTGTCAGCACTGTTTCTTTTCAGGTACGATTGAAACCCAAACTAATTTACCAATTTATATTGCACATAACCACATACTATTTGACGATAATTCACTCTCAATGTAAGCAGTGTGGACTGTTCTTCAACGCAGAACGAAAGAAACGGGAGTCAAAGTCAACCTAAACTATTCCAGATATAACCAATTTGTGAAAAAAAATCCTACGAGAGTCTAAATTTAATATTAAACATTGTATAGAGCAACAATCCCATTATTCCCTTTAACTACTTAAAAATAGTTATTTAAATGCTGCATTCACATTTAATAGCTGCTAATCTAATTGTAAATTGATAGATGTAATAAGTAGTTGAGTAAGTGACTGGCATGAACATACCAAACAGGCTGCCACCCTGCGCACCTTTCGGCCTCTCCGCTGCTGCTTTTGTTCGGGCGAGGGTGCAAGCTACATGCTCCGACAGTTCTCGAGATAGGATTACTCCCTCAGGCCTTCAGGATAGGGCAACTGCGAACTCGTATCCAGGTGAATTTCAGATGCCAGCATGTTGCGTTCAAAACGTTTTACCCAACGGACTGGGGCCTCAGATGCCCCTTTCTTCTGGACGGGACAAACATGACGGGAAAACTGCCACATGTATTGAGCGTGTAAGTTCCCCTTTTGTTAAAAGAATACTAAGTTATTACCAGGCGTTGCCCGGGTATTTATTACATTAATCAATCAGCCCCGCATGACTCGCCCCCATTCAACACAACAGCGAATGGCGCATGGCGGGTTGCATAACCATTTGTTTGTCAATGTTACCTCTTCGCAGGTCTTGGATAAAATAAAATATTATTTTTGCCGTTGTAAGAAATGCAAATATTCTTCAGGAACCAAAGCGTTATCCTACCTTACGCACCTTACGCACAGGTATTATTACATTCGTTGTTGTGGATTCCCAGGCCCGATTGTGCAGGCACAGGCGAACAATTGTTATTGCAGCCATTGGCCGATAGGTCGTCGCAATAGTATCGCATCGGCGCCTGATCTTCGATACTAGCTGAGTTGCTAGAGCGAATTGTAGCAATCGGCTGCTGTGTTTTCTTGTTTCCCTAGTTTCTCCGATCAATACCAGGTGAATGCCGAAGCAATACCCTAACAAACGGGTCACGTATCGCGCGCGATATTTTCTTCCTCGTTCTTGTCCTATCCTCTCCCCTTACTAGGACTCTAACACGTGCATGCAGTACTCTGCCGTACATCTCGGAAGACGGATTGAGAACTTTGAGCAAGCCCTGGCGGAGGACTTCCTTGGAGAGAAAAATCCCCGCGAGCCATGTTTAGGTTGGCACCGTATCCCTGCGGGATAGGAACCGCCATCCCCCGAGATAAAACCCGCACTTGACGTGGGAGCCTCGTGACCATAGCAGTTGTCGCGGCACCAACCAAATAATGAGGCAAGTGAAG